AACTTTGGAGAGTAGTGCCATGAAAAAAAAAAAAAAAAGCAACTTACTTTTTATTCTTGCTTTCCAAGCTTCCTGGTGCCTTTTATTTTTCGGTGACCCATCCAACACCGAGGGGGGAAAGCAAAGCGCTTTATCAAATACTTTGAAAGTTTCCCTCCAAGCTAACTTGGGGAAAGGCAAAGATCACCTCCTTTTCCACCAGTTACTTAAAATCTTGATATTTTGCAGAGAGGCTGCAGACAAGCCTGCACGTCTGTTAGCACACTTGCATTGACATTTCCCAAACTTTTTTTTTTGGGGGGAGGAGAGGCCATAATAACACCCAAATAAATTATTGCATTGTGCAGAACCTGCTCCCCCCACCCCGTCCCTGCATCCAGCCCAATTTTGTTTGATCAGTCCCGGGTGCTTTTATTTCGACTTTGCTAATACCTCACTGCCGAGATTGAAGCGGTGCGATTTTTACGGAGCGGCGTGTTTACCAAGACAGTTTGAAAGTTGGTCTGTTTATGAGTCATTAACCTTTTCTCCTCGAACACCATTTTGTAAAGACACGTTGGAGTCTAATAGGGACGAGCACACCTCGCGCACCGAGCAGCGGGGCTTTTCTTTTACTTCAGCCATGGACCCTGACTTTACACTAAAAAACCCCCCCTTTTTTTTTTTTTTTTTTTTTTACCTTTCCCCTGAAGTCTTTTAAAGTCTTTTTTTTTGTTGTTGTTGTGTTTTATTTTTTTTTCCCTGGGTGTTGTTTTTACCTCCCCTTTCAGGTTCACATCGTAGAAATCAGCCCTAGCGCAGGTTAAAGCGACTCTCTCTTGGATAGCATCCAGCCTCGAGCCAAAAAAAAGTCCCGAGCACATGAGATCAGGCAGGACAAAAGCTCTGCTTAAAGCTGAAAAGTTCAAATATCTCAGGATGTACCAAGCCACGCTGAGAAAGGAGGAAGGCTGGACGCGCTGCCCTGGCTGGCGCAGGGGCTGGCGAGTGCTGTGTGTCTACCTTCGCAGATAAACTTCCACTTGACAAAAGGCCTTTTTTCCTTCACTCTCCCTCGGTGGGGAAAAGGGAAGGACACGAGGGATTAGAAGGGAGGGTTTATTATTTTTAATAGCTTGTAGGGACCTGTCGGTTTTATATTTTTATTATTTTTTATTTTTTTTTCCTTCCCCCCTCCCTCCCTGCGAGAGCTGTTTCGGGTGGGCGAGAGCAGCTCCATGTGCTGGGATTGTGCCTCCTCTCACTTTTTGAATCTGCCGACTGCAAACTCACTGCAATCTTTTTTTTTTTTTTTTTTTTAATTAAGAAATAAAAAAAAGCTTTTTTTCGGGGGGGGGGGGGGGGGGGGGAAGAGAGAAAAAAAAAAAAAAGAGGAATGTGCCAATCATTGGAGTGATTTATTTTATTTTACCTGCTTATATTTTAATAATCATTCATAGGACTTGTGATTACTGCCGCTCTGCTGTGCTATAATGAAATATATTGCGCCGTTTTTGGTAGTTTTTAACAGTCTGTGTTTAAAATAAAAATACAAGCTGCGGTATTACCTGTGGATTGAAGTATTTACAATTCAGGGGCCACTCAGAATAAGTGCAATGAAAGCTTTTGGGAAAGTCAGCAGAAGGTCTTGAATTACGACAGGATTTTGCTGATAGACATTTCTACTATTGATTTCTCCATTTTTTCATAATTTTTGAAAAGAAAGTGCGAGTTAAAATAAGGCGTCGAAAGGAAGTAAGATGTCTGTTTTAATAACAATATTTGCACGACCTGAAATGATTTGGGGTAAGAAATGTACTCCATGGGATAATTAAAAAAAAATAAAAAAAAATTAGTTAATCTGAAAAATCCCCAATGTCGCCTTGCAAGGGTAGGCAGCGGGTGGCTTTTACCACGCTGGGGGAAAACGTTGCACAAATGACTTTATTTTTCCCTTCCTGGAGGGGCCCAATCCTGAGAAAAGGAGGAACTCGGCCCCTGGAAGCAGGGACGGCCCCAGCGCACGGTGCTGGATCAGGCCCGCACGGGCTATATACGTTCTTACGTGCAGCCCGGAGTTTGGTCATTCATTTATTCAGAGAAAAGCAAGAAGCGTGGCCCCAGTATATTATAATATGTTTTGATCTCTTTGGCTGATTTATGTAGTACTTTTTGAGGATATATATATTTATTTTTTTTAAACAAAATTGGGGGTCTTTCTTGCATTTTTTTTTAATTGTCCGCATAATTTTAACAGTGATTATTTTTGTGCCAAGGAAGAGGGGTGATCTTTAACTCATCGTTACACAAAGCGAGCAGTGTCTCCGGATGGCTCAACTAACTTTCCAAGTAGGGAATTTCTTTTCAAATATATGAAAATATGATGCAACCTGTAAAGAAAAAATTAATAATTCTTTGCTTATTTGCACAAGTCGTACTAAGGTTTTCTGTTACCGCATTTTTCAATTTTTCCTCTGCCTTTTTATTTTCTAGAAAGACTCAGAGTTTGGCTTGTCCTAATATGCCCGCGTATCAGATTTTTATTTTTTTATTTTTGAGTAAATATAAACAAAACTTTTTTTAAAAAAAAAAACATTATGAGACTTGCTTTTTCTAGGATTTTAGCGTTAGTTATCGGTGCGCACGCGGGATAAATCGCCCGCGTTACTTTCTGCTCCCTTCACCGTTGAGGAAACGGAGGGAAAACCACCCTTCATTGTATTTGTATCTGCAGCTCTATTGGCATTTTACTATACCGCCTGCTGCTATTTCCAAATATATCTTCGGGAAAGTTTTTACTATACTTTAGACTTCCCCATACAAACATTGATTGGCATCCAAATGTTTAGGATTTGCCAAATTGGCGGGCATACGCTGGCTACACCGCAAGCAGCGGGGTCAGGGAGAGAGCAAAGGGAGATACGCGCTCCGCGAGTGGACTCGCCGCGGGGTTTTTAGCTTTTAACTCATTCTTCCCTTTTTAAAATTTTTGTTTTGTTTTGTTTTTAAAGAGGTTTGGAGTTTGGGGAAAGAACCCATGGTTGGATCGTCTCCGTTGGGTCCTTGTTTGAAGTTGGACCCTGTTTTCGGGTGGCGGGAGCGGAGGTTTGGGGTCAGCGTGAGGTGAAGCGGTGATGGGCCGTTGGCGGGTTTGGGGTCTGTCAGTGAGGGGTATGAGTCCCCCAGCCCCTAAAATATCTAAGCACCCTCTTAAATCTCACCGTCCCGGCCAGCCTTAGCGCCTCGTGCGAAAACCTCATTTCTGGAGGGTTTGTTGTTGATGGTTTGGGTGACACTGACCCTTCTCTGTAACTTTTTTCAGGATGAATTTCATCCCTTCATCGAAGCACTTCTGCCTCACGTCCGAGCGTTTGCGTACACGTGGTTCAACCTGCAAGCCCGAAAAAGAAAATACTTCAAAAAACATGAAAAACGCATGTCAAAAGAGGAAGAGAGAGCCGTGAAGGACGAACTGCTAAGTGAAAAACCTGAGGTAAAGCAAAAATGGGCATCCAGACTTCTGGCAAAGCTCCGGAAAGATATCAGGCCTGAATTTCGGGAGGATTTTGTTCTCACAGTCACAGGAAAAAAGCCTCCGTGTTGCGTTCTTTCCAATCCAGACCAGAAGGGCAAGATGAGAAGAATTGACTGCCTTCGCCAGGCAGATAAGGTCTGGAGGTTGGACCTTGTTATGGTGATTTTATTTAAAGGTATTCCGCTCGAAAGTACTGATGGCGAGCGCCTTGTAAAGTCCCCACAGTGCTCTAACCCCGGGCTGTGCGTACAGCCCCACCATATAGGAGTTTCTGTTAAGGAACTCGATTTATATTTGGCATACTTTGTGCACGCAGCAGGTAAGTGCTTTTCTATACCACCTTCTACAAGTTTGGTTTTTTTTTTTTTTTTTTTTGGTTTATTTCCGTGTGCCGTGCTCCGGCAGCGGCTGCATGTGCCGGGGAGGGAGCGGGGGACGCCGGTTATCGCCCTCACAGGGTGGCAAGGGGAGTGCCAAAACTCCCCCTCCTCTTTTTTTTTATTTTTTATTTGGGCTTTTAAGGTGCAGCTGTGTAAAAGTGGCTCTCGTTTCCTGGGGTTAACGGCGTTTCAGGCATCCTTCACAGGTGTTATTCTAAATGTTGTCCTAAGAGGGATCGCAGCTGGATGTGGCTTCCTTTATCCTGATTTTGGGGGGAAAGCAGATAGATTTTAATTAAAAAAAAAAAAAAGTTTGTATATATTATGCACAAAGTAGTCTGAGAAGGCTAGAGGTCCCTGAGTCCCGCGGGTCAGGAGTACCGGGTATCCTCACCCCGCGGCGATGGGATGGGGAGTGGAGATCCTGCAGGGCTGGGCTCGGAGGGAAAGGGTAAGGTGGTCCCTCGATAGCAAACCCAGCTGTCAGGTCTGAACGGCCATGAAACAACCCTCCGAGTAACGCTATGGGGAAAAGGAAGCATTTAACCCCCCCTGAAATATCACAATTTATACACCGAGAACCTGAGCAGGTCTTGAGATAAATTCCTGGGGAAGTTGCTGAGATGTTTTCATATGTGATGAAAATGAAAATTTTGGGATCTGTTGACTCCAGCGCAAAGTCCATCCTGCCCGCGGAGCGAGTCGGTGTGCTCAGAGGATGCGTAGTTATGTTGATGGGATAAAATAATACGCGATTGCAGTTCTCCAGAGTGATTATATTGCAGAAAAACGTGCGCACGTGAAGTGCTGGGCCCTGGTTTTCACCTATGGTATGCACAAGTCCCCCTGGGTGTCAGCCTGACTTGCAAGCTGGGGGGCTGGACAGGCTGGAAAAAAAGATGAGCAAAGGGGAGAGGAATCGTATTAGTAGAAAACACTTCTATATATATATATATCAATAAGAAAACTGAGCAAATTACAGCACCGGGAGCCTGCATTTCCAATGCTACCTTCTTTCGGAGGGTCTTGCAGAAAGTTTTGGCTTCCCCAAAGTTTTCCTGCGCTTTTCAGCCGCTGCAGCGGTTGTTGCGATAGGCAGTGTCGCCGCTGTGATTTTCCGGGTACGATCCCGGATATTTGGAAATAACTTTTGAGTATCCTCACTGTATTTCCGACAGATAAGCTGCGAAATTTACTTTGCACTTTGGTGCACCATGGGTAAATCATATTGCACATTTATGGCAAAGGGGAGGTAGGCAAATATTGTGGAAAATTATCTATTTACTCTGCGATTTATTATGGGGCATGGGGAAGGAAGGATTACCAATTAATGGCTAACCAAAGGGAGACTGCGGCTCTGCGGGTCCTCTCCCGTTCCATCACCAGCTCCGAGGAGACCCAGGGACTCGCATCCCTTTTGTCTGCCTCAGTTTCCTCCTCTGTACATTGGAGCAGGGTGATGCACTTAAAGTGCTTTGATAGCTGTGGCCAAAAACCACTCTGAGCGCTATATGGCACGCAGGTTTTTATTATTTATATTTATATATAGTGCAGTGCCGGTAAATACTGGTCTGTACTGTGTTCCCTAAATGAAGAGCAGCCTTCTGCGGAGTGCACAGGTTGTTAATAGAAACCAATGGTCTTGGTTTAAGCTGCGTGTGGGATCACAAAAAGGCAGGATGGGGAGAAAAGGACCAAACCCAGGGTGTAAGTACTCCGAGGAGTTTGAAGGGATCCTCTTGCTGTTATAACAGTCCAGCGATAGACATTATAAAAGTTCAATACTGTGATTAGGGATATACCATCTTATCAGCACACTGTTGGCAAACAGTAGCCTTGATAGCGAACTCTTATTTATTTCTGCCTTCATCACTGCCTTCATCAATTGCACTAATTGTTCTTTGGACTAGATGTTTGCCGTGGAAACTTAGCGCGAGGCTTAGGATTGGATTTTTTTTTTTTGGGGGGGGTTAGAATTGCGGGTTTGTGTAAGCAGTAACGCGCTCGTACAGACCGCACCGCTTCGTGTTTTCGGCCGTTGTTTGCTGATCGCACGCATCGCATTGTGCTCTTAAATCAGGAGCGGGTGCTGGCGTGTTCCCCACTAAACCTCACCGGGGAGGGGGGCAAAATGAGTTTTAGGAGGTAGCACAGCATGGTCACCGTCTATATCATGTCGCAGAGGTGTACCAAAAGCCTCGCATATAGGCTATGGTTTTTTTTCCCCCCTTTTTTCCCTTTTTTTTTCCCCCCGCCGATGTATCCCAGCAGTCTTTGTTACACCTGAACATTGGCCAAGTTGACAGCCATTGGTTCCCGCGGACCCGCAGTAATGGCAGCTTGTGCCGGGTGCGCAACAGGAAAATTACAAAAGGGAAAAAAAAAAAAAATTAAGGGTCCTTTGTCTCAAACTCCATCAGACCTCGCTCCCCAAATGTATGGACCGCTTATTTATACAGAGGAAGTCACCAGCGCAAATCTTAGGTAGGCTGGTCAACTTACATATAGTGGATTTGACAAGCATCTGCTATAGTACAGAAGATTTGTAAACACTAAACAATGTTTTTACCTCCTTAAAAGTTTTGAGAAGTTGCCAGTATTGGCAGGAGGCACAGACTCCGAAACATGCTTGAAGATACGTGCCAAAACCATTGTGACCTTTTCACCCATAGTGCTCGCTTCTCTTTTTCTTGTGTTTTTTTTTTTTCTTCCACTCTTCGTC